CTCACGGCCAGGCCGAACTTCACAGCGAGACCCTGTCTCAAAAAAAAAGGCAAAGAAGAAAAAAGTAGCTGCCTGGCAAGTGCGAGGTCGTGAGTTCGATTCCCAGTACCGGGAAAAAAAAAAAAAAAGTATGATTTATCATGAGATGGTAAGTAGATGACCATGAAAAGAAGACAAGGAAACTGTGCTTACCATTTTAGATTTTTACGCTCTGGGTTAACCTGAGCCTCATTATGAAAAGCCCTTAACTTTGCAACCAGATCTGTAGAGTCCTGGGCAGCGTTCACCGCCAGTGTGTTGGGAATGACGAGAAGAGATCTTGCAAACTCCGCAATAGCAAGCTGTTCCCGAGACCCCTAAGGAGAAAGACAGTTTGGTGTCTCTTTACAAAACCAAAGAAAAATGGTTAAAACTCACAGCAGCAGCAGCTAAGGCCTCAGACAAGGTACACTGATGAAAGCGCAGGATGACCTCCCAGATCCTCGGAAATAAGTCATTCTTACCATGCTGGTGGCGTAGTTCTCAAGGTATATGGAAAGGGCGGCTTCCACTGCACCCCCACCGGGAACCACAGATTTTGACTCCAAAACTCTCTTCACCACGCAAAGTGCGTCATGTAGAGAGCGCTCCATCTCGTCACACATGAAATCATTGGCCCCACGTAGGATAATCGATGCAGATGTGCGAGCCTTCGTACTAGAGAGAGCAAAAAAGCGAAAATTCTTGCAGTCATTCATTGCAAGGGCCCCTGCTTGAATTCCAGTTACAGAGGACACTGACATACTCCACCAAACAGTGTCCAGACCATGCAGAAGAGATGACGTAGTTACTCCATCTCAATTTACAATGGCCCATCAGTATTGTATCCCATGCGTATAACTGCTCGTGTCACTGGGAGACGACAGCAGCAAATAAATGGGAAGGAAATGTATTTGCCCTTGACAACAAAACCTGCACTGCTTCAGGATTCAAAAGACGCTCTTACTTTTTGATTAAGATCAGTTCATCGTCACAGATTCTCTCCTGTACCACCTCTTCTGCTTGTCCCAACATTGTAGCTTCAAAAGTTTCTTCTCCTTCCAAATTGGCCAGTGTTGACAGAACAGTCGCTATTCACAGAGTTACACATCAGTAAACAGACTCATAATGCTTCTTTGTTAATTCTGTTTAGTTTTTTGAGACTGCATCTTGCTGTTTAATTCAGGCTGTCCTTAAACTCACCTTGTAGCCCAGGCTCGCTTCACACTAATGGTAAATGGTATCTTCCTCCTCAGCCTCCCGAGTGCTGGGATTGCAAGCGTGCACTACTATGCT